AGCATGTAAAACATAAAGCTTTTTCATAATCTTCCCAATAATCAAATTTCACATTTGTGATAATAAAAGGTCCAGAAAGCAAAAGTCAAAATCCAAACTTCATGTTAACATTTTAATAGGTGATGTCTTTCACATGTTAAAAATCTTTGTTTCTTACAACAAAGCATTATTCATAGTGAATAGAAATAATTTTGACTAATAACAAAATATTCCTATATTGTATTGTAGCTTTCCTTGTAGGGTTAATGTTAGCATTAGCCTAAAATATGTTTCCAAAATTCTTAAACACCTGTTAATTACTATTTTATGGCTTTTACCTATGACATTGTTGTACTCAAGAAAATAAGGCATTAAGCATTTAGAAACAGCCCTTAGATATTTGTCTGTTCTTCACTGTTGAGTCAAAGCAAGCAATGAGTAAACTGGTTATTTTAAATAAATGCATTTAAAAAGTTCAAAGTGAGATAAATTATACATTTAGACTGGAGTAAAAGTCACAAGATCTAGATTCTAGGCTATGTTGAACAGGCCACTTGATCCCTTTTGGCTAAAAGGTTCTCACCTGTTAAATAAAGGGTTTAGTTATGTCAAAGATTCCCAAACTTCCTCAGTTCATGGCATTCCTAGTGTCTCAGTAATTTTTTCAGGGTGTTGCAGGCTAAGAAAAATACCCTAACAGTTCCATTTATTAAAATAGTTAGGTGCCAACTTATTTTATATATCTGTCTTAACAACTTAGTAGCTACTTAAAAAAATAACACATACATTTAAATTTTTTATTTTATTCTTAATGGAATGTGCACATCTGTTGGGCACTTTACAACTTCTCAAACCTTGGAATCAGATTGAAAACCACTACCTGTTCTACAGTAATTTTCCCACAGTCTTTGTGTTTTATCACAGCAGCTAAATAGGACACAAAGATATGACATCATCAAAAGGAAGGGAGTACAAATGTAATGTTGAAGTTCTGAACTACCTTTGCATGGTGTCCAATTGATATCACTGTGTTGACTTTGATATTTTAAAATATCCCATGATGGTGCCCCTGTGAGTTTGTTGTGGTGCTACTGGGATGTCTCAGTGACAGTTTGGGAAACATGGAGCAGGCTCCCTAAAATACTTGATATAGCTACAGTGTGTGATCTAAGATGTAAAAGCAGAGTATGAGTGAAATAGATAATTCTGAGAGCCTGGATTAAGGAGATGCAGAATTGAAGAGATAAAGACCATGATAAATGTTTAACCTGCATTAAATGTCCTTCCCTCCCCAGGTCACCTATAAAATGCCTACCTGTGCCTCAGAACTCAGCTCAAGCTTCTCCAGGGTAACCTCCCCTTACCAAGCAAATTCACCTATTAAACAGTCTCAGAGTACTCATTTCACAGCACTGATCACAGTTGCGATTATACGTTCATTTGTGTAACTATTTGATTAATTCTTGTCTCTCTTATTGGAATACAAGCTGTAAGAGGATAGGAACGTATCCATAACCCATTGTGTCTAGTATATTATAGGAGCTTAAAACACCTTGCTCAGTGAGATGAATGACTGCATGGACAGAATAGGTTTAGCATTCATTTCACTTATTTTCCTTTATTCTAGAATAGCTGTTGTTTATAACAGCATTTCTAAAACTTTCTTCTTTTTCTCATATTTAGCAGGAAAAAAGGAATCCATAGGTACACAATTGCATCTGAAACCTCAGAAGTAGGCTCACCTCAACTAATGAAAAGGATGGTGTTCTTTGGATAAGGCAGTCAAATGTCATGAACACTTATAGCCAAATTAATTGTTATAAGAAAAAAATCATGATACTACAAAAAAATTGCTCATAGAAAATTTTAAAATCTTAGCAGATGAGCACAAACCACACTTTGAGAACTATGTTTTACAGCGGTGATACAAGAAGTAGAAAGCAATAGTTTCTAGATAGTGGAGATAGGCAGTTTTTTTGTTGTTTGTTTGTCTTTTTTTTTTTTTTTGGTAAATGGCGTTATACTACACAGGCTGGTTTTATTGACTTATTAAGCAAAAATATTAAGGGAAGTTCACGTTGTCACTATTAAAATAAAATGAATTCTGGAAATTTTATTGGTATCCTATTGTAATCTTGGCTGTACAAAGATCTATTACTCAACTAAGACTATGTAACATAAAATGGCATAATATGATTTTTGGAAAATGAAAATAATCCTAAAGTCAAAAACAGAAAATAAGGGTATGAAAGTAGGACAAAATAAGTTAGAGAATGATTGTACCAAATAGCTAACAACCTTAAAAAGGGTAGACATTTTTTAAAAATCACTAAATTAAGATTGGCTCATTAGTACGTTTAGTACATCCCTTTCCTGAAGAGTAGCTATAAGATACAGAATCAATAAATTATGTTTTGATAATGAATTTTTCACCCTTAGAGTTTCTATGCTAGGAGGAAATTATTCTTTTACACTTAACACATTTGAGATAGAATGGCTATGAGTGTTCTTATGGAGACAAAGAAATGAAAGAAAAGGTAAAATAGAGATGGTTGACTCTGTGCCCCTGGGATTTCTAATTCATAAACAGCCCTCAGTCCTCCTTTCCCTCAGCTATTATAGAGAACTGCTCCCTCAAACTACGTACATTTGAATTACTGGGAAGTTCTTGTTAAATTCAGATTCTGACTCAGTAAGGACACTCAACGACTGCATTTCTTATAACTCCCATAAGAAGCTGTGGACCACTCTGAATAGCAAAGCATTGGAAGAGCTGTTTCAGCTATTATCTAATCTACTATAGTCCTAATCTCCCATTTACCCTTTGGCATTGATTCCCTCCTGCTTTCACTACCTTTAATATCTATCATTCCTTTATTGCTCTGTATTTTTTACACAGTCTCTCCCTCCCTCCCTCCTCCACCTAACTGCTAAGTATCACCCAATAAAAAACTAAACCAAAATGAAATTTTAAAAACCCTCATTTAACCCTTAAACTAAAAGATGGCTTTCACTACCCCAACCTACCATCCGATGTCTCTCCCATTCACAAACTTTTAAAAAGAATTGTCAGCTTGCAGATGCCATTTCTTCATCTCCAACTCAATACTATACCTACTTCATTGTAACTTGCAGGCCCACCACCCCACCAACATAGCATTCACTGAAGTCATCTATGACCCCATGTTGAGAAGACAAAAAAATGACATTTTCAGTTTTCATCTAATTTGAACCTCTCAACAGTATTCAACAGTTAACTACTTCCAATATTTCTGCACATTGTTTTCCATGACACAACAGTACCGTTATTCTACTGTCTAGTGTAGAGGCCAAAAAACAGAAAAGGCTAAGAAAACTGCTAGTCTTCAAGTCTCAACTCAAATCTGGCCTTCTGAAGCTTTCCCAACTACGAAAATAGTCGGTCCTATTGGCTATCTGCCAGCTCACTGTAATTCTTAGCCAAAAGTTTGCTGACCCACTGTTTCTCAAATAGTTGAAGTAAAGTTATGTGCCATATCTTGATGTACTTGATACAGTCTAGCGACGAGTTTGCCTATGAGTAATTTGTTGTCACACCTTCTTCCAGGCTGGAAACAGGTCCACAGAAGAACACTCCCCCTAGACCTCACGAAGATGGCTACCGGAGGGCGTCGTTACGTCCTACGTCATCACGTGCCGGGATGAGGGTGGGGCCCACAAGGAAGATGGAATGGAATCCAGGTGGGCGGGGCAAGCAGGACGGGGCGGGGCTACGCGGGATCTGGGAGGGGCGGGGCCGGTGAGGGGTCGCGGGCGCTTCTGCTATTCAGCCGGTGCGCGCGGCGGCGGGAGACAGCGTCCCCAGAGTCCTCTCGACGCTCGATCCTGAGAGTGTGCCCAGGACCGCCGGCTCAGACCAGGGACAGCCGTATAGCCAAACGGAAGCTGCGGGCAGCCGGGACTAGTGGCTGGCGCCCGAGCTCCGCAGGCGGGAAGCACCCAGGATTGGGGAAGCCCCGGGAACAGTGCGGCGGCGCCTCCGTCACCCAAGGGGCCGCGGCGACGGTCACGGGGCGCGGCGCCAGCGTGCGCGACCCAAGCCAGGATTCCAAACAGACGGCCCAGGCTCCTCCTCCGCCCGCGCAGCCTCACCTGCGGGCAGTGGCGCACCGCCTCCGCCGGTGTAGGCAGCACCTGCGCCGCCGGGTCTCCGCCCCTCGCCGCCCCCACTCCCCTTACGGCGCCAGGCCGGGGCGGTTCACCTGGACCGGCGCGGGCTGCGGGAGCCAAAGCGCGGGGTACGCCGCGCCCTCGCCACCACCCGGAGAGAACGCAGGTGGAGCGGGCGCGGCTTCGTGGAACGGGCGCTCCCGCCGCCGTCGTCCCAGCCGCCACCGGGTCCTGGGGGCCTCGGCGCCCACCCTCGGGGAGTAGCTGCCGCCGCCGGCTGGGCACCATGAACAGCAGCAGCGCCAACATCACCTACGCCAGTCGCAAGCGGCGGAAGCCGGTGCAGAAAACGTGAGTGTCCGGAGCGCGTCCTCAGCGCGGGGGCTGGGCGCTCAGGCACGCGGGTGCGGGAGGCTGCCCCACCCCGCCCCCAAATCCCCGCGATCCGGGGGGATTAGGTCCATTCCCTACACGGCCCATGGAATCGAGATTTGGAGGCTGGTGGAGAGACTGAGGACTTGGATTTTTCCGTTCTCAATTATTGCATTTTAAAAATTGTCGCTCAGTCACCAGCGCACCCGCACCCTTTTTCAAATGCAACTCTGTTCTTTCTTCTTTGGTACTAATTTGTTGACAGCTCTGATCTGCCTTGTGGTCCTGGTGGATTAGTTAGCATAAACCCGCTTCGAAATCCCCTTCCACTTTTAATATCCACATGAGTTAGTTTAGGGGGCAGGCTTAATTCTCATTTTTTGTATAGAGTTTGGTAGAGCGAGATGTTTTAAAGAGCTAGACACGTGCCGTCTTGAAGGAAGGGGCTGAGTGTCTCTAAAGGTATTTTGTGGTCCGTAGCAACTGCTTGCTGTTGCGCTATCTTAATTACTTACTAGGCAGTAATTTTGTAGCGCTCATCGTGACCGTATCGGTAAAGTGGATAGAGATGGTAGCAGGTAGGAGTGGGTGTAGTGGACAGCATAAGGTGGAGGATTTGCTTAGACACCTTTTTGGGAAGCTTTCTTGTCACTTTTGGGGTGGCTTTAGGAACGGTAAAGTAAATTAGAACTGTATTTGAGAGAGAAATTTTCATTCTTAGCATCTACCTGTAATTCTTTCCCCTTTACTTCAAAGTTTTGTCAATTCTAATAGAGTACGAACTTGTATTTTTTTTTTTTTTGGTTTGTTTTGGTGGGATATTTGTGAGAGATGGCAAATAGAATAATATTTTCAGAAAAAAAAATCCATGCTTGAGACAGATTTCCTTTTGTAAGTTGGCTGTATTCGTGTGTTTATTTCTGATTTTATCTCTGAGTTACTTCACCTACATTTTTCACGTTTTCATGAACAGTTTTAAGAACGCTTAAACGTCTGCTCAGAGCAAATCAGAAATGTGCATTTTGCTTAAAACTTAACCGTCACTAATGCAAACTGAAAATAGCTCAAGAAATACTTGAAACCAATTATTGATTTAAAAGTTTCATTATTCTGGAGTTTAGGAATTTCAGTTACCATAGTTATTCAGATCTAGACTTATGAATTGGCATTAACAGGAGATGTTCATCTATATACATAGACCATCATTAAAATTTGGAAATTTTATAGTACAGTGTGTCTTATAGGAATATCATCAAGTCAGCAATTTTCTTGGCACTTTGAGACTTTGATTTACAATACTTTTCATTTTGTAGAATAGTTTCTTATATCAAAGTGTGTTTGTGTAATTTGATTTTGTCCTTGATAGTTAAAATTGGGAAGCATCCCAAATGCCTGTTATGTGTATTTATTAATACAGTAATACACTTAGCTTAATATGTGAGTATTATGAGTTTTATGTATATGGTAAGAAAACTTGAAGATCTCTCTAATGTGTTCTTAAGATACTGGGTTTCAGTTAGTGTGTTGCAGAAGGACCTAGATGGATTTGTAAACAAAACTAAATGCCGTAAGTTTGTATTCATTATAAAGTTTAACATTTTGGTTTCTAGTTAATATGTTATAAAAGGTCTTCCCTTTTAACATACTACATTTTTCTTTTATTTGTATAAGACGTACCTTTTATTATATTATCTTTATTTTCTGTTTTTATCTTCATTTTTTAATGTAGTTCCTTAGACTTTAATGTACTTGTATTTCATAATTTCTTATAACAAAAGTATTTTCCTCATTCATCTGCATTTTATTTAGTTAACATAGGTGTTTATCAGATCTTTGCTGAGCACCATGAATTGCTACTAATCATACAAATGCCTTAAATGTCACCAGCTTGCTCTGTAAGTAAAGCCTAGTGCTGGCATTTATGTTGCCAAGTGAAAGTGTTTATGTAAATTATTTTTACCTGAATGAAAAATGGTTAACTTTATAATGCAGCTAATCAAAGTTTATTTTAGGAATGAGGCCCCTAAACTTTAATGTGAGTTTTTAGCTCAAACTTCCAGTTTGTAACTAATGAGACCTAAAATATGCCAACAGTGGGAGAAATGCATCTTGTTTTGACCTGAAAATATTACCCAGATATACTTAATTTTGACCCCTGAAATGATAGCCATTTAATTTTACATACAGAGAAAATATACTGTAGCATAATTATAGGACTGTTAAAAAAAGATGGCAATTTAAATATCAATTCCATAAAATTTTGGAATAAAATAGGTGACATAATTGTAACCTGAAGCTCTTTCAATCTTCAATTGAATTTATTAAGCAAAATAAACTCCCCCTAGTGGCAGGTCTCACATTGAAAATTATCTTTATTAGGAGGAAATATATTTTAAATGTATTAAGTTTAACCCCACTAAAGTTATCTTGTACATAGTACACTCTCAATAAATGTTTCCTTTCTCTTTGGAGTAATGAAAGTTAAGAAATTAAAGAATCTGAAGCAACCTGATGTCTGTCCATGTTCCTATCTTCAAGAAGAAAATTTCAGAGATAACCTTCAGAATAAAATCCACCATAACTTCACTAGGAATGTCGCTCCATAGTTAGTAACCCTGCTCAAAAAAAGAACAAATATTTTCTACTTAAATCCTGATCTTTTTATTTTATTCTCTTTGGAGATGAAAACATTTTTGTTTGTTTAGTTATTTTATCTTGCAAAGATAGTTGAAAAACCCACTGTAAAAGTTAAGAAGAATCTGTTTTTCTCCAGTAATACTAACTTTGGATATATTTTTGTACTTTCTAAGTTTTATTAATACAGCAAAAGTTTTGTATTTCAATTTGCCATATTTGTAGAAAGTTAGTACTGAATGTGAGCAGATAATAGGTGTTGCATAAAGGACATCTATACCAAAAAATGATACCAACAGTCGTGGTGATAAGCCAGACATCAGGAAATGTCAGAACTCAATATAACTTCTGAGCCTAAACTGATGCTTTGTTAAAATGCATACTGATGTAAGCTTTTACTTTATTAAGATAGTAATCATATTAATAATATGAAATCATTGTCTTTTTCTTACTAAATTGTTCATTCTATTTAAACGTCATGAACCTCGTTTTTATAATACCTACTTAACTGAATTTTATTGCTTATGTTATATAGTACTTATTAAATATTTCATATAAGTATATGATGCAGTTTTCTAAATAACATCTAAAATAGAAGGTCTTTTCATTTATATAATTATTTCTCCATCATCATTTTTCTCTCAAGTAACTTTATTTAGAAAGCTTATGCATAGTTACTGTGGACACACTTGCAAATTTGAACAAATGGAGTGAGTGAAAATATTTAGTTATAGGTAACATTAAATGGCAAAAAGAGGAAACAGGTATAAATTGAGAGCAATGGATCTAAACTTAAAAATGAGGTCTGCTTTCCATTCTGTTGTGGATCTGGGCAAGTTTCTTGATCAATAAAGCAGGGCAGTTAACACCTACACTACCACTCTCACAACTAAAACCAGCAAAATAAAAGCATTTTATAACTGTGAAGACTGCTAAAAATATAATTGAAACAAACACATTCTGTTCTTTAAATAATTTTAGCTTACGTTATCACAGAACAATCAATTCTCCTATGAAACAGTAAGAGGCAGTATGTGATTATGTTCTCCATTACAGATACAGCTGAAATGTGCTACTTCACTGGCGAATAAACTTGGATAGTACGTGCTTATTCATGTATTTAATTTAGACAGTTAACTTAGAAATAAATACCATGCAAATCTTTAACAGCAGAACCTTTATACTTCAGCACTTGTTTAAAATTGATTTTTTGCATAGTGGTTTAATACAAAAAAAACCTGTTTATTAGCACTTACTCTGATACGAGTGTTCGGCACAGTGCTTTGCATACATACTTTTACTTCATTTTTATAGTAGTACTAAGGAAAGGTAATATTGTTTATCAATAGGGAACTGAGGTTCAGATTCAAAGTTGCTCAGGTAGTAAATGAAAAAGCAGGGTTTGGATATTGGAGCCCAGGTCTTATGACTCTAAAGCTTATCTTCTTACTGACTTCACAGTCCTATCCAGGTGAATAAATTCAGTGCTGCATATGGTACTGCCATATCCTAGGGATCTTCTGTGGTCCACTGTTTCTCCTCAAATAGTTAGTGTTGTGACTGAAATAAATTATCTGCTGTTTCCCATACATAATTTGCCCTTGCTCATCACCATGCTTTTATTCATGTCCTTTCCTCTTAGAGCCTTTTCTCTTATCTTACTGATTTGCTACCTACCTTTCCCCCTTTAAAACATTGTTTTAATGGCTGCATAGTACTCTGTTGTGTTAATATTCTGTAATTTATTTAACTATTGTCTTCTGGGGGAAAATTTTGTTATTTTCTACCATTCAGTATTTTAACTAGTATTTCAGAGAATATCCTTGAGACATGTACATTTTTATGCAGATTATTTCCTTAGGAAAAATTCCTGTAAGTGGAATTCGGGGGTAGAAAAATATGTACACTTTTAAGGTTGAGCCAAATAATTACACTGTGGGAATAGTGTCAAATTACTCTACAAAAAATTGCTAATTACATTTCCATCATCAGTCTGTGGATGTACCTGTATCCTTGCATTTTTGCTTAAAAAATATTGTCAGCTTCATAGACAAAAAAAGGTGAGATAAATAATTGGATTTATATGTTGGGATTATGGTGTGTGTGGTAGTAGAAGTATGTGTATTTGCAGATTTTCTACTAGAGGTATCCTTTACATATTCATTTGTTTTGTCTTATATTTTTCAGTTGTTTTTTAGTTTGTTCTTTTTGCTTTTTTTGATTAAAACATTGTTTAAAAATATATTCCTATTAAATAATGCATGCATACTTAAAAAGTCAATAATACATACATGGTGCCTCTTAAGTGTGGCATGTAAGGCATTATCTTTTATTTTCTTATTGTG